TACTGCGCCGCCCTCCCCCGATTCGACGCCAGCTGGCGGCAGCGCGGCGACACGGGTCACACGGGAACCCGCGGGCCGCCACCGGAGGTCAGGCCAGGTCACAGCTGCGCTGCGGCTTCGCGCTGTACCGGCACGGGCCGCGCCACCGGCCGGCCGGCCAGCAGTGCCTGTGACTCAGACCCGCCCACGTCGCGTTCAACAGCTGGCGGTCGTTGGTCCGTTACCGCGGCGGCAAACCGGGCAGTGATTGCGCGCCAGTGCATGTCTCAGCCCACAGCGCGACACTGATCAATGTACGCCACGTGCCGGAGCCGTCGAGAGCCCTGCGAGGACGCGTGGCTGCCCGCTTTGTTGCATCACAAGTTCGAGGTCTAGTTTTGTGGATGCGGCCGATTGCGAAACGGCGCGGGTGCGGCCGAGGCGGGTCGTCCCGTCTCCCCATACACGACCTGCCGGCCCGGCCCCGTCCGTCGGCGGCGGCCGCTGCCACCCCATTCAGTGTCGCGCGGCAGTGGGTCAGGACGGCGTGTCGGCCGGGATATGAAACAGGTCACCGCGCTGGCTCATTTCTCCGCGCGGCCCAACGGTTTTCCGTCGGCTTTCCCAGCAGGCTTCACTCGGCGGCGGACTTGGCGCGGTCGGCTGCGGGTGGCGCTGACCATGGCAGTCAGCTGACCACAGCCGATGACGTCAGCGGTGGCCGGCTGAACGTCGGCTGCGGCGCCGGTGGTCGGCTCCGCGGCCGCGGCGGTGGCGGAGCCGACCGGCGTCGGCGGTCGGGTCGGCGTCGGCGTCTCCCCCGCCGGTCGTATCGGCATCCCAAACGGCGTTTTCAGCGCAGTTCTGCGACCTTGGCGAAGAGAATGAAGGCCAGGTACACCCACCGGCTGTGTCATTCCACCACATGGCGCGGCGAGCCAGCGTCGCGCCCAAAAAATCAGCGGGACGTCGTTCCGCCCGAGGCGACATCAGGGAGACGTCCGTGGGAGCGCCTGTCGCGCTTCGCAACTGTATCGTCTGATGCCGGTGAGGCCGGCGGACAGAGACCGGCCCTGCCCGCTCCAAACAGCCAAACTATAGGTGTCTTGGCGGCCACAAGGCTAACGGGCGGAGACGGGCCAGCAAAATTGGGCGGCTCGCTGCTCGTTCAGCGCCCACTCGGGAGAGTTCAGTGGCTCTCAAACCACAAACCACCAATCGCGCGTCAATACGATTTGTGGAGGTGGTGAAATTATGAACAGTGCGTTGGGGTTTCGCAGAAATATCAAGACTTGGGAGCCCAAAGCATAATTTACAAGCTTGCACGGTTATAACGTGGCATGTGTGTCGGCATGGAAACTAGTTAGCGCATGACGTTGCTGTACGGCCGCGGTCTGCATACAGCTGTAACAACTGGGTGCATAACAACCGCATACAGCACACGCCATATGCTTGGGCACACGTACACAGCTGCTTTAATTTTGATCGTACATATCATGGCTTGAAATCTCTCACGGCGCATCCATTTTAAAATGCTTATTTTTTGGCATTGTTTAATGAGGGGAAGTCTTCAACTTTAAAATATTTAACAGGCAAAACAATAAGTGTGTCTTGAAGGCGAAGAAAGTTCATTATCTCCGAAGTGCAGTGGCATCTTTTTGGCAACCTTCCGCGCCTTGCGCTGCAGAAATTCTGCAATGTTTTGGTCTTAAAGGCAGTGTTCCACATCGGAAGCATTTTCAAAAATATGCTCTAGTGAACCTCAGGACCAGTTACGTCTTATGAAGACACTGGGTATTGCCACTGCAGCACCGTCAAGACGTAGTAGGGATATCAATTTTAATTATCTTCGAGTCCAAAGTACGCTGTCAGCGCTTTGTAACATCACCACGCTTCTTCCTTGCGCTCGCGATCGCCGTTGTTATGACAACCACCGTGGCATCTAATAGTGCGAATAAGAGAGCGCTTGTGATTGGTCAAAGTGCGACAAGGGCCTGTTGCGAAGACGCGCATTGGTTGAAGTTTGAACCAGTGCGTCACTGTGGACCATGTGAAACTTCCATTTCCAAAGTCAAAGTCCGCCTTGAAAAGAGCCAATGTGGTTAAGGCCATATTGGAGAGATGTGGGATAAATTTAAGCCATATCACAGCATCCCAATGAATTCGCGAGATAAAAGCTTCATGATCGCATGCATTTTTGTCCAGAATGTTTCAGGGATTTATAGCATTCATTACACAAACATGTTGACATGTAGCTTGTCGCAAACATTACGGAACGGGCACGTTTGGGAAAGCGAGGTATATGTAATGTCTTACTTTCATAGCAGTGAGCAGGGAGTCAAATGAGATTTCTTCCGCAGGAGCGGCCACTGTCAACCGATATTCCGAGCCTTGCAGAAGTATTTCGAGGAAAATGATATTACTGATAAAATCGCATTCGTCTGATTTAACAACACCTTAAACGCTGAAAGTGATATTATATCCCCTTTAACATGGGCCACATGGTAGACAAGTGGCACCGAGTGCTCAGTATCACAGTACTCAAAACACACCGCTGTGGTGTCGTTGGCTCGGCAGGTAAAAGAGCCGCAATAGTGTATATGTATGGCATTTATATGCTTGAACACTGATCCCGATCCTAAATTACGATTATGTGACAACATTAATTTTAGATGGACAACGCTGGCTGTTGTCCATCTGAAGTGAACAACAGTCAAAACAATGATGCGAAGTATGATGAGAGGTAAGCCCCAATATGGTTGAATCCCGATGCCTCATGCATATAGGTTATGAAGGCATATCTGGAAAAACCCAATATTTTTCTGTGCACAAAGCACAAAGCACAAAAATCCTAGCACAAAAGCCAACTTGTTTACTTTTCCTGCCAGACAATGTGTCCATTAATCAAGTGACGAAGCTCTTTAACAAAATGTTTGGAAAATATATTTAATATTACTGGCAGGCATGCGGCAAGTTCAGTGGAGGTCGGCCGCTTGCCTGCCTTACGAATGCCGGAATGAAAATCCGCTTCACGGTCGGCAGGCAATCGACAATCCTTCCGCTACGGCTCGGCAGGATTGACTGGATAATTAAATATCTCAGATTGCAATCTCCCTCTTATGACATATTCACACGCGATAATGGGCCTTAATTGATGGCGAGTGACGATCCTCCACATTACCGTCATACTACATTCCGCACGATAATCCGAACTTCAGGCTCGCCTTCATACCGTCCTCTGTGCGATGTAACGGTACGTCTTGTGGATCAGTTTCTAAAAAAGAACGTCCAAAATGTCAGGGAAGTTGAAAGAACCATTAGTCTTGTTGGAGCAGCCTGACGTGATGTTGGGTGCTCAGAGTTCTCCGAAATCGGGACGTATAAACGCTCGTGTCGACAGACGGTGCCTTTTCGAAAAAGACGGCTTTGAACACATCGTTTTTTGCGCTGTTCTCCAGCTGGAATTGGGCAGAAACTGGGTTGAAATAGCACCAGTGTATCACTGGCTAGCAACAGCTCACATCGTCCAACGCATCACCTCGAAAACCCCACGGAGACTTGAGCTCTGCAACGAAACATACCCTCCAGGCCTGGAGACTGCATTCCTTCACACGAAGAGACCACGCCGTCGGTCGACGACCGCTTCCGATGCGGCGCCGACCGACAGACATCACCGCTCCTACCGACCGCGGTGGTGATGTGTGTGTGTGCCGGCGGGGGGGGGGAGGGGAGGTTGGATTGTTGACCGGTGTTGCACACGACCCGCTTGGGAACGCGGCTGGCTGGACTCGACTTCCGCCAAGCGGGCATCGCAGTGCCGTCTGGGACATTCCGAATGCGGCGCACGACCGCGCGTCCCGCGGAATCAGACAGCACGCTTACCTACGCGTCGCATTCCGCGGCGCAATCGCCGGCGGAGGAACGGCGATCGCACGATATGCGTGCCGCGTTAGTCGCGTCTCCGCGTTCTACGCCCAATTAGTGTCACGGCCGATTTGCGAGCCACCGACCGCTAGTTTGACAGCCACTGGACGCCGAGTCCGGCGCCGAGGCGGCCGAGACGGATCGGCGCGTAGCGTGCCGACTGTCGACCCATTCGACTCGCCCACCGTCACACCCCAGGCCGCATGGGTGCACGCTCGTGCTGCGGTGTGCCTGAATGAAGCCGCGTGTGTGTGCATGTGCGATCACCTTGAATGCACAGCTGGGCTCGTCCGCAGACGTCGGCTCGTTTGCGTAGTCCGCTTCCGCTGGCAAATGAGGTCGGACGCTCCGTTGAGGAATGCTGTAATTCTTCGGGCGGGATCGTTACCGCTCCGAAGCATATGTGGCCCACTGTCTGGCCCTGTCCGTCCCATGCGTCAACAGATGGTGAATTCCCTGAAGTCAATTACAGTCTCTTCTTTGAAGTTTTACCGTTAGCGCAGGCCCCAGGCCGGCATCAATACCACGGATCGGCTGAGTTGGAGTTAAGATTCGATATAGTAGCCGAACAGGCACTTTTTCAAAGTATCGGGGAATTTTGCAGCATTTTACGAAAGCAATTTTTCATGTGGAAGTGCTCCAGTTATTGCATATGACACATTTCCGTCGGCTTTTTGGATAACCAAAACGACTTCGGTGTCTGTGATTCAACGGCAAGGGTAATCTTTGTGCCCAATGCATAAGGAGCAAGCAGCTCTATACGGGATGGATGTAATTCATTAACACATTTCTTCCCCATCATAAGCCAATGAATATTTGCTCATGGCTCAAATCTTCTCTGAAGCAGTCCATCTCTCACGCAAGGCGCTCTTATGCTTTCCATGCGACTTTCACAGCACACAGGTTTGCATAGACCTTTGTCAAAGGTCTTCAAAACCTTCGGCCGTCAAAGGTCTTTCACACCTTTGACGGGGCAAAAGGGTTTGTGCATGCACATTCACACTCACACACACCACTTCCTCATGCCGGCTGTCGGGGCCGCGGCTCCGTGAGCAGAGTCCTGACCCTCGTCTGACCTCGTGACCTGTGACCCGCAGGGAGTTCCGTCTCCGCCTCCGGCCGGACCGGGCCGTCTTCGCGCCGGACGTCGTGTTCGAGAGCAGCTCGGGGCCGGTTGCCTTCGACACCAGCTCCGTCTACACCGGCTCGCTGGAGGGTAGGTTCCGGCGCGCGCGCTGGTCCGTCGCGGCCCGCTGCGCGCCTCTCACGGCCGGACGCCGCGCCGACCGCCCGAGGCGCAGCCGCCAACCCGGGCCGCCCACAAACCCAGATCGCAGCGCGCCCCGAGCCCCGCTCGTGAGCGCCAGCCGACCGAGCGGCCGCCGGCACTGTGGCCTCGACTGGCGCCGCTCCCAGCCGCAGTCGGCCCGCCCACCGCCACCGCCTGCGGACGCGTGCCTCAGTGTAGCTGACCGAACCTGAGGGTCACAGGTCACATCCCCAGACTTATGCCGATGTTTGCAGAGCTCGCTGCATCTGCCGCTCATGAACGAAGTGCACTGCATCTGAGCTATGGGTGAAACTTTCCATACCTTTGACGGGGCAGATGAAGCTCACTGTTTTTTTTAAGCAACGTCGGGTTTGAACGCGTTTTTTTAGAGAGAGGTGGACTTAAAATTCTGTTGTGCTGATTAAAGGGAGTATCCCACCTTTTTGTAATTTTGACTTATTGTAACACCAGACGCGTATTATTTGTTCAGACAGGCAATTTTCTCGAAATCCACCTGAATAGCCCTGAATTTCTATGTAAAGCAGCCGACCCTCGGGGAGAAATCTCATTTGAATCCCTGCTCGCCCGATGAAAGTAATCCAGTTTGTTTCCCTTGCTTTTTCAAAGTGTGTCTCCTGTAATGTTTGCAACAAACTAATGTGTCAGAAGGTTTGCGTAATACATGCTACGAAAGCTTGAAACACTGTTTAGACAAAAATATACGTGAACATAATGTTATTATCCCGTGAATTTAACCAAACGTCTTACTATGACTGGTTTCTCCTCTTTGGGGCTTACCGTGTTTTTTTCGAGGCGCACCTTGATTTTGGGAATGGTAGTATCACATGATTCCCGTGACTCACTGGTTCAAACTTTGACCAATGTGCTCCTTTATACCAGGCCCTTGCACATTGGACCAATCACAAACGTTCTTTTATCTGCACCAATAGAGGTGCGCATGGTGTTTGTTATAACGACGGTGGTCGTGCTGCAGGGAAGAAGTGCAATGAGGTTACAAAGCGTTGACAGCGTAATTTTGGGCTAGAAAATAATCTAAATTGATCCCTTGTTTGTTCTGACGATGACGGGTATGTTCACAGTGTACATATTCACAAAGCATGCTTTTGAAATATGTCCCAAAGATGGGACACCCCTTTAATCGATTCAGAGGCTGTCCTTTTTGGAAGAAGACACATCCGTAAAATGATAAAGCTCGTTCTCCGTGAGCTGATATAGCCGGAAACGACAAGAGCCTTTCCAATCGATAAAGGACCGTGTGGTGAGCTCACCTCCCGTGCCTCCGGGCCAACCGCTTCTGGACTGCGGCGACTCCTGGCAAGTGACCGTTCCCACCGTTGGTGGCCGGAGCCCGCCGACCGAGACCTGACCGAAGGGCGGCGCCGGAGTCAGCCCGCTAGAAACAGGTCCGGGGCTCTGAGCCAAGGTCACAGCGTGACGCCCATTTCCGGGACACGGTCGGACCGGCCGGCTCTCCTTCTGTCAGCCGCTGTCGGTGCAGGGTACCAGGGGCGTACCAAGGCGACGTGAAGAGAGCTGGCCGGCTCTTCAGCTGTCCGTTTCTGGCAGAGCAGCAGACCATGGGTACCCGGCTGACGCCAACTAATTCGTATTGCTCTTACGCTGTCCGCCGGTGGCAGTGCTAAGGATCAGAAGTGTTCCCCAGGGTCTTCTTTTGCCTCTTGCGTCGGGCAAAGTCGTCTCTGGCTCTCGCGTGGGGTGGGTGGTTCCTCCTTTCTCCTCGGCTTAGGGACGGGTGATCGTGTCCGTCCCACATTTGTCGGTCACGGGCTGACTTCTGACCCCGCCTGACCCGGTGTCACGTGTCTGATACGACGCCAGGCGATAATCACCCCAAGTGGGCGCGTCAGGGGGCCGGGAGGAAAAACGGAACCAAATCACCGCCAGATGGCACGTTCTGGTCGGCACCAACTGATCATTATCTCGAGGCCGTAATAACATTCTCTACATCATGGCAGAGACCGGTAGCTTTCTTGATAGCGTGCCCGAGGAGACATACCACGCCTGCAAAAAGGCGCTCTGAGCGGTTGCTATCATTGACGTTGACCTTCGTGCGTGCCTCAGCCACGGATGGCGTCGCAGAATGATGATTTCCCCGCCAAAGACTGACACCAAAACCGAGTAAGCAGAAGGGATTCTCGTCGGAATGCTGCGAGGAACTGGCGCACGAACACCCCGATTGTGGCCACGCTGTTTCGGGCATTGAACTACGGAACACCTTGCGTGCGGTCAGCCGGACCGTTTTAACATGTGATACATATTAGTGACGCGTTTTTGTGTAGTCCGGCTGCATGGACGTGCCAGTTTGATGGCATTCGAATGAATGCTATGATTCTATGCTTCGCATCACGCCTGCTGTTTGAAGAGAAGGATTTTTATGCGTGCGGTAGCAGCAATGACACCAGCTTCCCCCATGCCGTCGCGTGGATGGTACCCGAAGTGAGGGTGTTGGGGTAAGCCTGACTCACACGTCCCAGCAGACTAGTTGTTGGACGTCGTTTCTATTTGGTAGCCGTCAAGCAGTAGGTCATGACGTCCATTCTGCATGCATGTTAAACAATGGACATTCCTTGCGCGCCGACATGCTCTTTCTTCCGCTCTGTCCATTCTGAGGTCAAGCAAACCACTCCACTAGTGCACTGCAGCTTCAAGAGACTCCAAGAACGACGGCTTCTTCGGCCCCAGGAGCGGTCCTGGGGTCAGGCCCGGGATGGCGGGCAGACATGGCTCATTTGGCACCAGCGCAGCACCGCGGCGTTTTCCGCGGCCGCCGCCTGACGTAGTCTGTCCGTTCCAGACGACGAGGACGCCGTGGTGCAGGGCGTCATCGGCTCCGACGGCCTGTTCGACGGCAGCGTGGTGACCGCCTCCGAGCACTTTTACATCGAACCCTCAAGCCGATACTTCCAGCAAGCGCAGGACTTCCACTCGCTCATCTACCGCCTCTCTGACGTCACCCACCCGCGCCAGCCAGCCGGCGGCTGCGCGTCGCAGCGCCTCGCCGAGCGCAACAAGGCCGCCGGTGACGTCACTCGGACGTCACCGGACGGCGACGTTGACGAGTGGCTGGGACACGCGCAGCTGTACGAGAACTTGGCGGCACCCGTGACCGCGGGGAACACCGCAAACGGGACGAGGAGTGGCTCGCGACGGCGGCGCGCCGTAATCAACAACAAGAAGACGACGTGCACCATGTACCTGCAGGCCGACCACCTGTTCTACGAGCAGTTCGGCAGTGAAGAGGCCTGCATCGACGCCATGATTCGCCACGTGCAGCAGGCTAACGAGATTTACAAGACAGTCGGTAAGGCTCGCTGACGGTGTTCAGCAGGAACGCGCTCGCCACATTGGGGCCACGGGGCGCACTCGCGACAGCGGGGCCACAGGGCGCGCTCGCGACAGCGGGGCCACAGGGCGCGCTCGCGAAGTGGGGCGCAGGGGCTCTCGGACAGCGGGCCACAGAGCGCGTCCTTTAGTTCCGCGATGAGGTTTGGGGGCGTTAGATAGCTCACCGGTCAAAATTGGTGTTATTCTAGGCGTGTTAAAATGTGTTGGTAATAACAGGGCAAAAAGGAATTGTAATTTTTTTTGAACTGTCGAAAAGAATTCCAACGTCACCCTCGATGAGTACAAAATACGCTGCACCCAAAAGGTTTACAGACAACCCTGGTCCGTGTACCAGCCAAAATAGGGCACAGACTGCAGAATTAGGGATTGTACGGGTGTCATTGCCCCTGCTTGTGGAAGTTTAACATTCACGCTATGGCGGCCACAGGAATAGTTGACGTTGAGAGGGTTTTGAACTCCATCCCAGTCCGCGATGATCTAACGCGCCTGGATAAACTTTAATCATTATTGAGGGCTAAGTGTTGTCTGATTAAACGTCACCGTACTCCGAGGAACAAGCCGAAATGCCTTTTTAGTGTAACCAGCTACCATGCATTAACAACGGTCGGCTTTTGTAAACCATTAAGTGGTTCGGCGTTTTTCCTGGGGCGCGACCTTGACATTGGGCGTTGGAACGGCGCCAGTCCTGCACATGCAAACCAGCAATTGGAAGCTACATGATAGCATCGTACGATCGCTTGCCGCTCGTTTGCATTTGGTCACCAAATGTATCGTAGCTGTATCCGGAACGTAGACAGGCTAAACCGATGCGGGCTGTTTAGCGCTTATTCACATGTCTGCCCTGTGCCCACAGACTTCGACCAGGATGGCATACAGGACAACATCGGGTTCATGATAAAGCGGATCCGAGTGCACAAGCCCACAGCTGTCAACGACGTCGGCTACCGGTTCCCCGGCAACTACGGGTGGAGAAGTACCTGGAGCTGTTCTCAGGTGAGGCGTCAGCGTCAGCGGACCTGGCGGCAGCTGGACTTCTGGGGGCGCGGGGCACGGTGGCGTGTTTGCGATGACCCTGAAGGGATGTACTGAAAGGTTGCAGCTGTTGCAAGCGGTGTTCTGGTCCGACGAATCAGTCACGCTGATGGCGGGTATCAGCTTAAGCGCTGCGCAGTCCAGCAGCAGTGTTTCTTTTTGTGTTTTACGCCATTATTAGCATTGCAATTGCACCGATATTATTGCCGTCCTTGAGCCGCACGTGTCTTAGTACGTAGTGAATTACGCCACTTGCGACTCCACCAGGTACATGATGAATACGTAACGTACATTGAAGTCATGCGCGGGGATGCGGCCCCTACATTACTGTATTTCGGAAGACAGAAATATGTCAATGCGTGTGGGTCTAGGAACATATGTATTATTGATCCAGCTGCCTTACTGTACCGACAAATGGTGTTTGGTCTGTTTCGGACAAAGCAAATGGCACAAGTAACCTGGACATGTTTTTCATTTTCAGAGGAAAACTACGACTCGTTTTGTCTAGCGTACATGTTTACGTACCGCGACTTCGAGGGTGGCACGTTAGGTCTGGCTTGGACCGGGGACCTGAACCAGGCGGGAGGAGTCTGCGAAAAAAATGGGGTAAGTCACCCGGCCAAGCCCGAGTACGCACCATATAGACTTATAAACTTTCTTCGATTACTCTACACCTGGTGACGTGTCCTGTGCCAGACGAAGGCTAGGCTCCACAAATCGGTGCTCGTTCGGGAAGTGAATGGATCACAACAAACGTAATTCTATTAAATATACCACTCATGCATTTTTAGGTGAAGAGTGACAGTGCCTTTACTAAACCTCCTATTCACTCATCTTTTTGTTTTTATTTGCCAAGCGCCTGGGTAGCTGGTTGAATACGATGCGTTTGAATGAGGGAGGCGTCTGGTCCGCATAGCTGCCTGAGGTATAAACAAACTAAGAGGGCTAGATACACCAAATGCAGCAGGGCGGATACACCTGTGTGTGAGTTAATTTATGTGAAATGTTTGTGCCTTCAGGGCGTGATCTTCAGGTCAAATCAGGTCAAACAAGGTCAAACTCGAGATCAGTATCCCAAGTGCTCATGAACTCTGTCACTGAACCCGTTAAGCTGAATATTTTTCCAAAGTAAAATGTCCTTCGGGGTCAGACGAGGTATTGACCTGACCTGACCTCCCCTTGGCTGCGCCTCTGCCAATCAACGCCGTCTTTCTCTGCAGTCACTGTGGGGCGCCTATTTTTGCAGCACGTTATACAATGTCCGGCGTTGTCGAGTCCTTGAACACGCTTTGGCAGCGCTTGATATGCACAAGGTATCCGTATCTGTCGTCTTGCGTTTGTTTCAAGAAGCAAACAATGTCCGGTATTTTTGTGATTCAACCACAGCCTAAACATTGTGCGGCAACAAACGCTAACGACAACGTGCAGCATTCATTCACTGATGCAGCAATTAGTAACCCGACCACTTATCAACATGCTATTTGTGCCGGCACATACCTGCAGTGACTTTTCAATCGCTTGGATGCACGCGTAACTATGTTTTGCCCATTGCCAGCATTACCGAGGCAGCAAGAAGAGTCTGAACTCAGGCATCATCAGCATACTAAATTACGGCAAACGGGTGCCTCCAGCCGTGAGCCACGTGACCTTTGCCCATGAAGTGGGACACAACTTCGGCTCTCAGGTGAGACTGCGCAGCCTTGCACGTGCGGCGCGGGGAGGGGGGGGGGCACTCCCTCTGGCAGAGGTTTTTGCACATGTTATCGGCCCTGTTTGGTGCTTTGTGATTAACGTCCAACAGTGATTGCGTCATGGTGACTCACGGCGTCTGTAATGCCGAGATCACGCCACGTCTCAAACGGCGGCGTAACCTTGTTTGATGAAATCAATCAGTCATAGTCGAATGCGTCGAACCCACGCGGAACTGTAAGTCATGCATGCGATAGAACATCGCTAACATCGGTATGGACAGTCAAATCGCACGCCCCTCCATTCTTGCCGCGCAGCATGATCCCGACAAGAACAAGGAGTGTACCCCTGGCGGAGAGAACGGCAACTACATCATGTTCGCGCGAGCCACGTCGGGCGACAAGAGGAACAACGACCGTTTTTCGCCGTGCAGCCTGCGGTCCATTGAGCCTGTGCTGCGCGTGAAGGCGCGCTCCAAAAAAGGCTGCTTTGTCGGTAAGGCGATGCCTGAAGCCTGACCCAACCCGACCCGACCCGACCCGACCCGATCTGATCTGACCTGACCTGACTTGACCCGACCCAGCCCGATGCAACCCGACCCGACACTACCTGATTCGACCCAATCCAACCCGACCCGACCCGACCCGACCCGACCCGACCCGACCCGACCCGACCCGACCCGACCCGACCCAACCCAACCCAACCCAACCCAACCCAACCCAACCCAACCCAACCAACGACCCGACCCGACCCGACCCAGGTCGATCCAGTTTGATCCGATTCAACCCGATGCGATCCGACCAGATCTGGTCCGACATTGCCCCGCGCGACTGGTGCACCTGAGCCGGTCCCACCCAGCCCATCCATCCAGTTCCAGTTCATGAATGTCGTCCGACCCGAGCCTGTCTGACCTCTTCAACTGCCCATGCAGCATAACTCAGTTTTCTCATTCTGCTCCTGTCTCGAAGTGTTACATAATGGCAACGAAGCCAAAACTGGAGATGTGTGGCGACGCTGCATCGTTTTGCGCTCATTGCGCCAGATTGAGAATGGAAGAAGAACGGGCAGTTTTTCTGCCCACGCCGAGTGTCGAATGACCCTGGCATGACCCGTTCATCAGCTGACGGCACCGCACTGAGCCGCCGACGCCGCCCCCAGAGCCGCAGGCAGCCATCTGCGGAAACGGCGTGGTGGAGGATGGCGAGGAGTGCGACTGCGGCTGGGAGGAGGACTGCATCGAGGCCTGCTGTAACCCGATGCGCGCCGCGCCGCCCCCGGGCCAGCCGCCGTGCCGGCTGCGGCCGGTGCGCAATGCAGCCCCAGCCAGGTCAGAGCGCGTGATAGCGGATGGCGGTTCAGTCATGCATAACATATAACTTGATTGCAGCCGTCTTAGGCCTGTTTTCTCGCGTGTTGCTTCTGCGGTAAGGAGAGCAGGCATCAATAGCCGCTCCCATGATCTGCGAACTGGATTGCTGGGTGCTTACATCGGGCTGACTCTACTTGACTCGTAAAACTGTAAAGCTGAAAGCATCTAACGAGGTAGTGACGGTACCTGAAAAACGTCTGCTTAAGCTGCCCAGATAGGGCTCGAAGGCCTGTTCAGCGATTAGGTCAGGGGCACCGGAAGCGCTATCAAGCGAGGGGCCGAGGTCGGGTGAATGCCCCGCGTGCGGTGAGACCATCCTGTCGTAGACAACGTAACCGAGCCGAGCGATTCAGCTACAGCTGGTCGTTTCGTTTGTGCTGGTGTTGGTATGCGTGCTTTAAATTGCGCCAAGTGAAAGCCGCTTCACGTCGTTTTAATGTTACATTCTTTCCAAGCAGGCGACGTTTCTTCATGCAATGCCGATCTCACTCCACTCAGACACTAGATACACACCTTACTCCGTCATGTTTGTCCAGAGCGTTGACCCAACACATGCTTTGCATATAGCGCACCGCCGGGCCCAGTCTGTACGGGATCAGCCCGTGTCCTGGTCCGCATCCCGCTGACGCCCGGCCCCGTGACCGTGTGCGGCAGGGCCCGTGCTCCACGGCATCAGTCCGTGTCCTAGTCCGCACCCCGCTCACGCCCGGCCCCGTGACCGGCAGGGCCCGTGCTCCACGGCATCAGCCGTGTCCTGGTCCGCACCCCGCTCACGCCGGCCCGTGACCGGCAGGGCCCGTGCTCCACGGCATCAGTCCGTGCTAGTCCGCACCCGCTCACGCCCGGCCCGTGACCGGCAGGGCCCGTGCTCCACGGCATCAGTCCGTGTCCTAGTCCGCACCCCGCTCACGCCCGGCCCGTGACCGCAGGGCCCGTGCTCCACGGCATCAGTCCGTGTCCTAGTCCGCACCCCGCTCACGCTCGACCCCGTGACCGGCAGGGCCCGTGCTGCCACGGCATCAGTCGTGTCCTAGTCCGCACCCCGCTCACGCTCGACCCCGTGACCGGCAGGGCCCGTGCTGCAACTCCACCTGCGAGCTCGGGTACGGGCAGCAGTGCCGCAACGACAACGGCTGCCGCGCCACCAGCCGCTGTAACGGCCGCTCGCCACACTGTCCGCCCTCCATCCGCAAGCCCGACCGCACTGTCTGCAACGAGTACAACGTCTGCTATCAGGGGGTCAGTGCGCGCTCGTGCGTCGCGCCCGGTCGGCGGCCGCTGAGGCGGCTGCCCGCTGGTGCTGAGCTGGCTGGGCACTGGTGCTGAGCTGGCTGGGCACTGGTGCTCAGATGCGCTTGGCACTGGTGCTGAGCTGGCTTGACACTGGTGCTGGGGGCGGGCTTGACGCTGAGTTGCTCAACTGGCATTGTTTTCCTGAGGTGTTGAGCTGGGCGCTGGGTTCCTGAGCTGGATTTGTACCTATACTGGAGTGTTCAGCTGGTTTGCATGCTGGGTGTTGATGGGAATCAGAAGGTTATCAGGCTGAGTACTTTCTATCAGAGCTCTACAATATCAGGTCCGAATGCTGTAGGGCTAAACACCAGATTCTGATAGCGTTAACGGTTTCGGTACGTGCTTTCAAAAAATCTTTGACTGAAAGCTTTGGATGAATTTTCCGAGGTTTAGCCACTCAAAACGTGTGTGAGCAAAATGCTGCAGTAATGTAAATGCGTTCCACCTATTTGTTGATCGTGATCTAACCCAATTAACAAAGTGTTAACGCAAGCTACTTTTCGTGAAGCGCGCTGCACGCAATGTCTATTGTATGGGTTTACACTCTGGGCTGTAGTTTGGGCTTTTCATGAGGCTGTACCACACGTAATGGCGCACAGCGTTTCAAAATATCTGAACAGTCATGCACGGGTGTTCATTCTCTGAACAGTCATAAGCTTAAACGCATTATCCGCTTACAGCTACTTACAAGCACGTACATTGCCTCACCACTTGTACAAATTTGCAGACTGCAGCGAATGCATTAGCGATTCACAAAAACGCACAGTGTCCAAGGTCAAGCCAGGCGTCCGCGTGCCGCCGGAGCCTGGCAGAGTGCATTGTGTGACGTCACGCGCCGACACCGGCAGGAGTGTTCGGGTTCGATCTGCCTGGCGTACGGGCTGGAGTCATGCCAATGTGATCCGGTCGACGGCGGCAACGCTACCAGGTCCTGCGAGCTGTGCTGCAAGCGCCCCGGCGCCGACCAGCCGTGCCGGTGAGTGAAGCCGGGCGCCGCGGTCGGCCGACGCATCGACCGCGGCGCCCGCTGACCACGGCGGCGCGCGGCGGAGCGCGAGGCTCGAGTGCGCCGAGCCCGAGCTGCTGCACGGCCACAGCCGGCAGCGTGCGGGTGACTCAGTGGAGTTGAGGGCCGGCCACCAGCCCCGGCGGCGCTCAGCCTGGAGTGGGGAGGGCAGGCGAGGGCAGAAGAAATCCCTCGCACCGTGTTTGGGCATGGCTGACGATCTGCTCGCGGTGATAGCATTGTTAGCTCACCGCCGCCGCAAAGAACCGTCGCCGGCGAACCGGTCGGGTTAGGGTGATGGGGAAAATCTGCGCGCGGCTTGTGATGTGGTCGACCAAGGACAGCGGGTCGCGCCGCCACCGTACGGGCGCGGGGAACAGCTGTTGTGACTTCTTGACTTTCTTGCAATGTATGGGAGGGACAGGATTGCAAACGGGGAAAATTTCATACGCTATGCTGGTTGTTGTAGACAGGACAATGGCGCATCAGATTCTCTGTACGAAGATACAATATTGCCACACACTTTATTTGACGGTGTCTCATCGTGATAGTCAAATATAAGGGGTGTGGCTTTAATGAATGGCCGTGTCGTAAGGCTGTGCGCGTTTGCTTTTGGGAAACACTGCTTGATATCAGCAGTTTTCATGGAGGTATGCTACATGAATTGTTTTAAAAACTGTAAGACATTTTCAATTTTTCCGTAGGAATATCTCTGATTCTTCGAAATTCCCGGGGCTGCGTTAAGAACAGCATCCAATTCTTTTTGAGCGGGAAAAAGGTACAAGTACACAACTAGGTTATGGGTCCACATGAAATATGATGAGCCTCGATGTACTTCACTGAAAAATTTCAAATGGAAAAATCAATTCAAAATTCACCCGGCAAGCCTTAACAAAACGATTGTCACCAGCGTAAGACCAGGACCAGTCAAACGGAAAGGACAATGCAACGATCTGTATGAAAGTAAGCTCGTCGCCTTCATATTGTCGCACGTTGCATGTGCGCATTTATACAGCGCTTGGTCCATGTTGACCTAGAAAACGGGTGGCTGAACTCTAATGCGGTGAGCTGTCCCGGTATTACAAATAAGCACATGATCGCAATCGTTGAAATTCGTGCGTGCACCGTAAAAGGACATCAGAATGTCCACCTCTGCAACAATTTGCATATTGTATAGCGTTCTCCGTATTCAATCGATTCATTTTGGTCTGAGCTAATGGACATAACTCCCATCATCTTCAAGTACTGAACTACGCAATGCAACCTGCACATTGGACGCGTCAGTCCTCGCTGCCGAGGAGATGCAGTGTCACACATATTCATTTCATTGTTCACCTTCACACCGCCATGCTTTAATTATTCACCTCAACACCGCTATGCCCCTGCCAATGTTCCATCACACATATTCACTTCGTTGTTCACCTTCACACCGCCATGCCTTGATTATTCACCTCAACACCGCATGCCCCTGCCAATTTCGACCTTTGCTGCGAAATCCCTGTTACCATGCCGAGCAATTTATCCGCTTTGTCTGGGAACTGAAACATCGCATGCGCCATCACACCTGGCAGCAAGCCGTCGTTCCACATCGCCGTACCTGAACCGCAGCCTAGCAACACTGCTTGGAGATCAGCGGTTTGATCTCTCCCCCAGCGCGGTTGAGGCGAGCAGATATCGTCCCTCGCTTTCCATGTCCGACCACAAGGCTGCCGCCTGACACGCGACCGCAGTGACGTCCCGCTCTTGCTGTCCCGCAGCTCGTCGTTCGAGTGGAACGAGTCGCCGTT